AGAGAAAGAAAGAGAGAGAAAGACAGAGAGAGAGAGAGAGAGAGAGAGACAGAGAGAGAGAGAAAAAGAGAGAGAGAGAGAGAGAGGGAAGAGAGCGAGATGGAAAGGGAGGGGGAGAGCGCGGGAGAGAGGGAGCAAGAAAGGCAGCGAGAGAGCAAGAGAGAGAGAGAGAGATGAATAGTGAGCGAAGAGAGGGAGGATACGGCGATGTTAATTGCGAGAGTCAGCGTCAGCTAGTGCTAACGACATAACCGCATCCGATTTCTGTTGATAGCGACAGCCGGTCACCGGGCGGGCACGTTGTAACGCGGTGATGCGCGCCCAACCCACGCAGACATCGGATGACATGAGATCCAATGACTTACTAACAAGAGATATGTATAACGCATTGATGTATAACGCAATAACGTACGAGAAAAGGAAAAAGAAAACGAGGGACGGTCAGCGAGGTAGAAAATTATAAAGATACAGTTCAGCTACAGATAAGAAATCGTCAGATTGAGAGAGAGAGAGAGAGACGGGAAAGAAGCGCGTGAGAAAGAAAAAGAGGTAGATAGAAAGAGAGAGAAAGAAAGAGAAAGAAAGAGGGGGAGTAAGATAGAAAGAGGGAAAGCGAGAGCGAATGGAGCGAATGGAGACAAAGAACAAAGAGCGACCAAGAGAAGAGAAAGGAGGGAGGGGGCACAAACGGGAGAGAGTGGGAAGAAAGACACAGCGAGAGAATAGAGACAGAGGGGCATAGAAAGAAAGAGAGAGAGGGGGAGCGAGTGCGAGCGTCGGAGAAAGAAAGATGCACGAGTATATTCACAAAGAATGCCAGCAGCTTGACCATGTGAGACATTGTACGCAATGCGAACAACGTGGCGCACATGCCGCTCATCCAATACACTACAACACAATAGCTACACATAACAATGACTGCCGCAGCACCAGTAACTAGCCACGGCCGCGACTCAATTATTATAATTGGACATGCAATTCGATGGAATACGATAACATCTTTGTCCGAGCGCATCCTCTCCAGACTGTAATGAAGTTATTCAAAACTAACATCAATAACAGCGCAAAGAAAAAGACACAGCGCAGCGCTTCTCTATTCCCGTAGAGAGGACATAGATAGATACACTTGCAGAGATACACAGAGAGAGAGAGGAGGGCTAGAGAAGGGGAGAGTGAGTAAGAAAGAGAAAGAAGGGGCGTGAAAAAGAGAGAGAGAGAGAAAGACAGAGAGAGCGTGAAAGAGAGAGAGAGAGAAAGAGAGAGAGAGAGAGAGAAAGAAAGAGAGAGAGAGAAAGAAAAAGAGAAAGAAAGAGAGGGGGGGGGAGAAAGAGAAAAAGAGAGAATGAGAGACAGTGCGCGGGAGAGGAGAGAGAGGAGAGAGAAAGAGAATGAGAAAGAGAGAGAGAGGAGGAGAAAGAAAGAAAAAAAATGAGAGCGAGAGAGAGAGAGAAAGGTGAGGGAGGCTGAGGGAGAGGGAAACGAACAACCGCGCGGCGACAAACACTCTGACGCGTGGTGATTATGGGGATGGACCGCTGGCTATATATACTACTGGATAATTAATTGCACTCACGAGGGCTCACCGACTAGCATGTACTTTACTCATTGATCAAAGACTTCGGGAGTCCGCCGCCACCGCCACCGCCGCCGCCGCCACAGTTGTGATTGCGAGAGAATGTATACCCGAGCGTATTAGAAACTACCGGATTTGGCGATTTAACGAAATTAGGGAATAGGGTCGAAACGCTAAAGTTGTAACCGGAGGAAAATGCAAGGTATACGCGCCACCCGTTGCTGCATGCTGAATAGACATGGTAGAAATAGCGCGCACGCACACACAGACACAGACACACACCTGCGCGCGCGCAGGCACACATACAGGCGCACACAATGCACGCATACACAAACACATACACGCAGGCACACGCAGGCGCGCGCACACGCACACGCACTCATGCCCGCACACACACACACACACACACACACACACACACGCACACACACTCACGCACGCACGCACGCACATCCACAATGAGGGTGTCTGCCATTATAAACCACAACTAATGACAGGACGGAATCTTTCATTAAATAATTATGAGAAAAAGTTTGGCGCCTGCAGCACTTGCCAATACGACGTGGGGTGCAATAATGTGCTTTGCATAATGCGAGCATTAGCGATGCGTAAAGCACAAGGCTAAACATATAATCGCGCTATTCCGCCGGTGTGTAGCCAAATTTACATAGGATTAGTAATTTAAAACAAACGAAAACCGAAGCACAAAGGCCGACACGACTAGTTAATTAGCTAGAAACATAATTGTCACCTGCGAGTGAAAGAGACAGGGCCTGGTTGCCAGGGGGAACGGTGAGCATCACGTTTCGTCTACTTCAACCTGTAAAAAGTTAAAAGTACAAAAGGTCGTTAGTAATTTGCCTTGCATCAATCAGTATCACAGAAAACTCGCGCATTTTGCATCTATATATGCACGAGAAGTCCATGCCTTGTGTGTGCATGGACAGTCAGCAAACTATATTGTTTCGAGAGATCGAACATAGGCAGCAATATGTGAGAGGGAATAGAGCAACCGCGAACGCTGCCGATGTGTACTCTTGCTTTATCGGATGGGAACACTCGCAATGTACCTACCCACAGATACCCACTCTCAGGAGACGCCATATACCCTCTCCGATCAGTGAGAGAGAAGACGCCAGCTACCATCTCCCACCAGTGAGAGAGGAAACGCAATCTACTCGCTCCCACCAGCGAGAGATGAGACGCCATCTACCCTCTTCCACCAGTGAGAGAGGAGACGCCATATACCCGCTCCCACCAGCGAGAGAGGAGACGCCATATACCCTCTTCCACCAGTGAGAGAGGAGACGACATATACCCGCTCCCACCAGCGAGAAAGGAGACGCCATATACCCTCTTCCACCAGTGAGAGAGGAGACGCCATATACCCTCTCCCACCAGCGAGAGAGGAGACGCCATATACCCTCTCCCACCAGCTAGAGAGGAGACGCCATATACCTTCTGCCATCAGTGAGAGAGGAGACGCCATCTACCCTCTTCCACCAGCGAGAGATGAGACGCCATCTACCCTCTTCCACCAGTGAGAGAGGAGACGACATATACCCGCTCCCACCAGCGAGAAAGGAGACGCCATATACCCTCTTCCACCAGTGAGAGAGGAGTCGCCATATACCCTCTCCCACCAGCGAGAGAGGAGACGCCATATACCCTCTCCCACCAGCTAGAGAGGAGACGCCATATACCTTCTGCCATCAGTGAGAGGGGAGACGCCATCTACCTTCTCCCACCAGTGAGAGAGTCGCCAGCTACCCTCTCCCACCAGTGAGAGAGGAAACGCCAGCTACCATCTCCCACAAGCGATCTGGAACAACGGTCCCATCTCGCAATCGAATATTCATGACAACATATACATGTATATTACACATTCATTCAGATCCTCACACAATACTCCAATGATAAAGCGATAGATTACGCGATACAAGCTCGACATCAATAATAAATACACATCATACCACAGGCTTTCATACCAGACTTTCTGTCACTCTCCCAGCATGATGTGCACCCATTTGTCTAGAGGGGAGATATATATATGTGTGTGTGTGTGTGTGTGTGTGTGTGTGTGTGTGTGTGTGTGTGTGTGTGTGTGTGTGTGTGTGTGT